AAATGTAATTTAAGATTTTGTTTCAATCCATTCGACTCGAATCAATTAAGAGACCATTAGCAGTTTTTTTTTGCTGAAACGACCCAGGAAAGTAAATGTGATTATCATAAAGAAGCGCGGTGTTAATGAAAACTGTTTTTAATCCTCAAACTGTGTTTTTTTACAGATGAATTGCGCTTATATAATAATTTTCTTGTAACATTTCTATATTGTTTGCAAATGTGATTAGTAGAGATTAAAATTACCAATAAGTTCGGTCTCTTCAAATCCAGAAGCACTGATTTTATTATTCGGTGATTGACATTGAAGATTAAGCGAAGTAGATATTGTGCTTTATATCGGTCCTGTTCAAATTTTCTTGAATTACAGTCTGGTCTTCATGCATTTTTTTCTTTTTTTTCTTTTGCGTTATATAATTTATTTGAAATTGCGTGTGGTTCCAAATCGGCTTGGAGTGAAATTGTACCTTTTTTTTACCAAATTATCGTGATGCTACTACGCAATGTAGATTAATTCTTTAAAAAGCCCAATTTATTTTAAAAAAAATGATGCTAGATGATGTGATACCAATTCGGTATTCTGTGTCAAGTAACAGTAACAACCCTTAAGGTATAATGTTAGGGATTAAATAAATATCCAGTAATAAATAGAAAAAACGTGTGAAGTAGGTATATTCCCTTGGCGCAATGGAAAACGACAAAGATTCCAACTTACCGCAATTGTTTTCTCTTAATTATGACCAACTAAAAATAACACATCAATCCTCAACTCATTTTATAAATCAAGCATTGAATTCCTGACTTTCTTTTAATGATTAAATATAATGTTTTATCGGGTAATCTATTGTTAGCATTTAAACAAGTGATCTGGCCTTTGAAAACCCCAATACGCGCCTCTGTTTTACCCTGCGCGGGAAAAGTGGTTTTAAACAGGCCATTCAGTTTGGGATTTTTCTAATGCAGTTTCCTTGTCTTCTTTCTTATACTAATAACATTGGTGGGTTGCTATTTATGTGTCTGTCTACACGTGCGTGGTGTGGAAATGTTAGAGTGCGTCTTTAATATTGATAGGAATATTTTCCGCCAGGTAATTCGACTGTGTGTATTGTGTGTCTTTTTTTGTATTTAGACCAAAATTACTCCACTTATTCTATTTTTAAGTTTATATTTAACGTATTCCATTGAAAAACTTGTTAAATGTGTTAAAAAAATTCATTAATATTTTACGAATACTAAGTAAATAAAATAGATTCAGACATATTTGCTTTGGTCAATTTCGAATTATGCGTCCAATTTTACAATATACCTTTAGTGATGGTTTTGAGATCGTATTAAATGCGATAAAACAGTTGTGCGTTTTTATATGAATATGCACTCTTTTTATTTATTTCAACTGTAGCTTGCCGCTTCAAAGTTGAATGGTTATAAAATTTACAATTGCAAAATCTCGTTTTTACAGGTTTTTATCAAAAACTTAGGATGTATCAACTAATTTTTACATCAGCTTATTCTTATCAATATAATTTAATAGATTTTATATTATTTTACCGGTTTTGTTCCGTGTTACACGGGTCAGGTTGATTCAATCTTAAATTGTAAAATTATTACCCATACCTAGCTTTCAATACCCTCAGGAATTAAGAGCGACGATCTTTTTTAAGACCGTCGATCCAGTCAGTCACTCATCTTAGCTTTCCATTGGCGTTCTTATAAATATTTTTCTCTGATAATAGTGTTTTTCCACTTTTGCCAATCGTATCCTCTTATTTTTATTACAATTATTCTTGCCGATGACCCTTTTTACAGATAAATCGATGTTTAAAAATCAAACTGAAAGTAGGAGATTAATTTTTAATTTGCTATTAATATTTGTTATTAGTTTATTTTTCGTAACAAGACACATTTTTAACGTTTGCCGCTTTGTTTTCCATTTTAGGCTATTTTTGCTCAGCGATTTGCCTGACCAAACAAAACAATTCTAGTTTATTTTCAAGTTAAAATAAGGAAATACCTATCAGTCATATTCACTTTATTTATTATTTGCTAAATATTAGAAAGTCGTCAGCGTCGATATTTTTCACAGAATAGGAGGCTAAATGAATAACTTTCCGTTGGAGCAAAAATATAATTTTTGTTTTGAAGACTAAGCTTATAGTCATGCGGTTTTTATGTAAGAATCACAAAACATTCGAACGCTGCACAAAATATATTTTTTTTGCGTATTATTTTTAAATTACTTTTTTCTTGTTAAATTTCCGTCTATATGGACATTTTTCGTGCGGATCAAATAAAATTTGATTAGTTGTTTAAACTTTTGTAGAAATAAAGAATTTGCCCAAATTTGTTAAAAGAAGCACCAATTGAAACAGCACATAGGAAACAATAAATTCGAATATTCAAACTTGATTTGGACTCCGCTCCCGTCGGAAGTTCAGATATTCGGCCTTAATCTGATGCTTTTACGCAACTGTTATTGAAAAACATTTAATCCAGCTTCCTCATCTACATCTATCTAGAAACATTCTAAATATTTGAGTTTAATGGCATATTTATTGTCCACCTACAATTTATTAGTGTTGGTTAATCCTCCATCTTAACGAGTTATTCTTCTGCATTTAACAATTTAAATAAGAAATAATAAGATTATGTTTGTGCACAAAACGAAGCATCTGAGCCATTATTTATAACAAATATATCTATATTTATTATAAATAATATTTTAAACAAATTTGTTAAAAGATCGTCACCAAAATCGTCGTTCAAATTTAATGCTGTTATGAAGTCGGAAAGCGATTATAATGAGAATGCTGAATACTGCCGAAATACTCGTGGGAAATTACTGTATAAAGAAGATATTAATTAAAAAATTATTAAATTTGCCGATTAAAAGACTATCAAGACCACTGAATTAAATAATTGCACTTTTGTTAGATTTTCAGTATTGCTATTCTACTAGCTGTATTGCTGGAAATCTTTTCACATGTTTTAGACCAATATTCTCAATAAAGCTTGTTGTTATAAATTTTTGTTGTAAATTGGGAGTTTTGAGTGAACGCATTCACCATTGTGTGTTCAAACGCAACAGAGTGACAATATTTACTCCGCATGATTTGTGTTGATAGTCGAAATATTTCATACAGTTTTTAATATAGAAATTGTAAGGACATTTTTATTATTGCAAAATAAATGACGGCGCGACTACTGGAATATTGCAGACAATTAATATAGAGCAATTACAATTATTACTCGTACTCGTTTTACATTTAAGTTTATGTATAAGCTGACAAATTTTACTCTAATTCAATTTTTTTTTTGATGCAGGGATATATTTCTGCTGGATGTGTACATACTTTTTCTATATTTCCATATTTTACTCGATTTGACTAGTACTTAATGAACAATGTTTTTATTTTAGGTTCGAACTGCTGTGTTGTGAAGTTGCCATTGATTACCTCGGATTTGTTTACTGACGCATAATATGTTCAGTGGAATCTCAAATATCCGACTATTCTTCTGTTAGTCAAGTAAGTATTGAAAACTAATCATTGTGATAGTAATTTTTGCTTTCCATCTCATTATGCGTAGTTCGTTATTTTGTATTAGTGTATAATGAAGTATAATATCGTACATTTATTAAGCAAAAAATTCCCTTCGAAATTCCCTAGTCGCTTTTCCTCCCTCCCTCCCTCCCTCTCTCTACATGAACTTATCTGGAGTAAACCAGTTAGAAGCACCCTTAATGCAAAGGGCCAGCTTAGACCATGCAGTGAATTGTAGCTTGAAACCTAAATAAAAACAGTTTCATAAAAATGTGCATGTCATGTTTGTTTATATGATGTAAAAAATAAGCATTTAGTAACAGACCTTAGACTAACCGTCACTGTCACTAATTTATCTAGTTCAATTGGAAATTACAACGAATTGTAGTCAAAGCTCATGAATTTCATTAAAAAGGCAAGCTTGCTATTAATTAATTCCAGTCTGTAGGTAGTAGGTAGTACTCATTAGAAACCAAACACATTTTAAACGTTGTATTGAGCACAATGCTATGCATACATTATCTGTTTTCAATCAATAACTAATAGTTTCACCCAATCTAAACTCTGGAAAAGACTTGAAGTAAACCGTTGAACCCATTTAAAATTTTAATCAAGCCTGCAAAAGTGGTATATAGATGAATAACATGGTGGATATATGGGCGAACTATGTACATAAGGGTGGGGAGCATTCGGTCTCAAGCCCATTGGTTGATGTGGCTCAATACGATATTGAACGAAACTGACTGGGCGTGTCTTAGCTTCCTTTACCTTACTAAGATCATGATTTAACAATATTATTTGCTATTATTTTATACATTTATGTTTAGGTATTACAGTTGATTTTTAATGTTAGTTGTTCATATTTGCATCGGTATAGCATTTGAAAACTTACTATAATTGTTTGCTAAATAAATCAGTTGACCAAGGAACAAAAACTGTGAACTTTTACTTTTGTGTTAATGTGAAACGACGTCGACGTTCGCTAGTTGAAGATCATTTTATATTCGCTCATTAACCAACGCAACATGTTATTCTCGAACGTTAACCGTAACATATAACAGAGAAATTCACAAATATTTTCAATGCAAAAATATTTTTATTCAAAATGATTGTGATTATATTCCTCAGTAGTCTGATTTCGTACATACATCTTTCCGTTGGACTTACTTGGAGAATTAAATGGTAACTGCAGACAAAAATTTTATGTGAAACAATCTGGCAGACTGCCATAAACCCATTTTCCTGAGAAGTGAAAATATTAACCAGGTTCAGCTGCCGTTACTAGTGCGAACATAATACACCGCCATATATGTATCTCAGGAAAGAAATTGGCAAATATTTTCCATGTAAACATATTTTGCTTCGGTATTGTTAAGAATTATGTTAGCATTACCGTCTTACTCCACACATACATCTTTCTGTTTGAGTTATTTGTATATTTTGATTGGTCAACAGATGTAATATCAATTCCACAGTTAAATCCTATGACAAACAATTGGTAAATTGCTGTAAATCCTTATTTTTTGGAACGTTTTTCGTCATTGTGTTTGGGGGATTGTATGGTCTGATGATGACTCACTCAGCCAGTAATAAAGAACCGTAGAATTATAGTATTCATCCAGTGAAGTAAGATGCACATAGGAAACATCCTGTAGGTATATAACAACAATCAAAGCTGCTTTTGCCCCCACTGTGAGATATATAGACTTCGATCGAAGAGCCAGGACTTTTGTCTGACTACGCATTTCGGTTACTCCCTACCACTTCTACTCCTGTGCTCGTTATATGGAGGCGCTCAGATATTAAAACTGACAGGTTTTCATATTTGCTTTATTAAAAAAATCGTATTGTGTTGTGTCCTAACAAGCTTAAAACTTCTCATCGGGTTCACTACTGGTATTCTATACAATGAGGTACGCTTCCAGCAAGGTGTTGCATGAGCCTTGTGTTAATATTAATCTTATATATGAACTCATAACAATGCATTATTTTTATTATATAAATTTCAGGCATGCATTTTTTATTTTTGGATGTGTTTATATAGGGCATCTGCCCCTCGGGGTAATTTCATTGTTTGTCAGCATATTAATATCCTATTGATGGTCTCATTTCATATTTTCCGCTTGAGTCCATTCATAATACTCATATTTCATTGTGTTCTGGGTAATATTATACCTATGGGCAACTTTTACCTGGGCTCTTTTAGTTCTTTGGCATCTTATTGTTAATTTGATGCAATTATTTTTAAAGTTTCATTATATTCTGGTTCCTATTGTTCAAGTCAAATCAATATGGACGTTAAAATTCGTTCTACGCAGCTTTTTCCAAAGTCAAGCTTCATATTGATCGAAGCAAGTCTTCAACGACTAAAAAACTTGTTCATTCATTTTGTTGCTAAAGCCATTCTTAACCATTAGGCCTTATATATGCTGAATAAAACTACCAAGTTTATTGAGTATTTGATAGTTGACTTTGAAGGCGTCCGCTCCATGGTGATTGCGTTTTCCACCATTGCCTCCAACATTTGCCTAGACCTAGTTTAAATTTTAGCATGCTGTAAATGTCTTTTTTTTTCAGTTTTCAGTACGATGCTCCTGACATTGCCTATGCTTAAGAGTGATACAGTCCTAAGTGAAAACTGTCTTAGCCTTGCGAGAAGGCTACTTTCAACATGAGTAGTAAAGATGATGAACCTTCTAATGATGCCACTTTCCATGAAAGTTTACCGCGTCCCCCCGTTCCCGGGAAAGAGCAAAGCCATTTTGTATCGGATTGGGGCCCTCCAACACTTAAGCAAACGACTACGGAGGACGCCATGTTTGTCAAGCCAAGCTCTCCCACCCCTCTACAGAATTACGGCTCTGCTTCTAGTAAGTGGAAGTTTATTTCTTAAATTGAAGCACTTTTTTAAATGATTTTCGTTTCTATTCTATACTGAATTATTTTCATATATTTTTTAGACCCAACGACTTCCTTTAAGACAGCGTCTTCCCAAAGTCAGCCTTCCAATCCTTCTTCGGATGCTGCGACCGTTCGATCACCTCCTGCTTGTTTAAATTGGGCCAAATCCCTCCACTGTTTGTTCCAGGATGCAGAAGGTGTCAAACTATTTCGGCAGGTTAGTAAATTGTGCTTTTTTCATTTATCTGCTACATTGAATTTGCACAACTTGACTATAAAGTTTAAATTTTTTGCTTTATTAGTAATATTATAATGAAAATCTGGTATCAAATTCAAACGTTCAGTAAATATACGTATTTAATGCAGTTGTATTTAACCTTCTCTCATTCGAGTGCATAAATAGTAAGCAAATATTTGAATAGCTGAATAAACAATATATAAGGATCAAAGACGCACCGAAAGTTCCTGAATAATTTTTGTACATATTGTCGAATAATTTTGTTTTGTTATCAACAAATATGTATGTGATCCTTAATGAGAAACAAACCTGGTTTGTCAAGAGATGTATTGTTTCCTAAAACTCGTTTACTGAAATCGGTGTAATAGACGCCTGTGTTGAATTTATTATATATTTTTTTATTTTCAGTATTTGGACAGTGAGTGCATCCAGCATTCAAATGCCTTAAAATTTTGGTTTGCATGTGAAGGGCTACGTAAACAGCAGGAAGTTGATAAAATTATGCAGCTTGTTAGAGTGATTTATAGGTAAGTGAATTTTAATGTTTCCGGAGTATGTATTCCCTTAGCTTAACCGACTTCAACAAGTTCATCAATTAATGTATTGACAACGTCACATATCTAAATAACCACGCTCCTGTTCAAACTCATTCGGTAGCATCAAACGGCTTATAAATTACTTTAATGCACGCCGCGATATTGGATAATTGTTAGGATTTTTTGATAAATTCTAATCTATGAATATACCGGCTGATAAAGATTTCCCGCACTATTTATTAAAATCTGGTATTTAGTGTTACTTCATTTATTTTGTATTGAAAATATCAGCACAAGTTCAATTAAAATGTGTATAATTTGCCATTTAATATAATAAGGTGACAATTATTTAATGTGGTGGTGCAGACAGGTATTCTTTTTATAATATGATAAACCCAAGTTAGGCTGTTACGACGAATTGATAGATTAATTAGAGGAAATTAAAGGATTGTTAAAAATTTAGTTTTTGTTCATATTTGTCTAAATTGTCGATTCGCCATTTGATGTGAATAGACTACCGCACGATTATTTTAGAGGCTTCATTTCACTGAGAAATGGTTTGCGTGACGTGTTTAAAGCGAAAACTCTTATCCACAATAATGGACGAATGTTTAAAAAAATACGAACTTACATAATCTATCAACTGTGAATGTTGTGTTATTATTTAGGCATCTAAAGTGGACATTCGCAATTTTCATTCTATTGTTTTAATAACATTTTTTTTTAATTGCAAATGTTCACTTAATTCATTTTCTTTTACATCGCTTCTCTTATACGGGCTGTATTAAAATTTGAACCCTCTTTAGGTACGTTTTCTGTTCACTATCTTCGATGCTTTATATTGAAAAATTACCGATTTATCTGGGAATATCTTTCTGCTTTATGATGTGGACATATTTTTGCTATTTTGGATTGTTTTTATATGAAGCTTTATACCCGTAACGTGTAAAAATCGGTTTTAGAGTCAATAAGTAGAATTTGATAATATTTTTCATTCACTTGCCCTCTGATCTTGCGAATCTGAATTGCAAGAAATATTTTGATTGTCAGGCATTGCTCTTTGGTGACTAATTTTGCTTTCATCATAATGTTTTTTTGCAAAATTATTATAACAGATAGATGCATAGATAAGATTGATTTTGGAAAAATAAACGAAAAAAATTTCTTGAATTAAAAATATTTTATAATATTATTTCTTTTTAGGAAATTTATTTTAAAATACACGCTTCCCATCCCTGAGGATGTCCGAGAAAAAATAGGAGATATTGTAAAATCTTCCGAGTGCCTTTATCCTCCAGTCACGCTTTACGATAGCGTGCAAGCTCAAATTGAAAATTTACTGCTGACGACAACCTACCCTAACTTCCTTAAAAGTGATATGTACCTGCAATATGTAGAGGTGCAAAATTGTGCTGATTATATTGAAAATAAGTTTTTTAATTTATTCAACGTTCTAGAAAGCGCAAAATTCGATGAGTAACGAGAGTACGAGCGAGTTTAGCACCGACTTTTCGAATCTAGCCAGCGGTGTTGATCTCTTGCCTACGTTACATGAAGATGTTGAGTTAGTGACGAATCCAATGCATATGTCGTATACTTCAGGTAACTTGCAAACACTCTAAAATATTTGGAGTTTTATATGGCATTCTCTGTTTTAGGGAGCTTAAGTACTGGATACCATACTCCTAATATTGCAGCTTCTCCAGTGCGCCTAACCAAAGATATCTTGTTATGGTCCCAAAAGCGTCGTGCAGTTGACCGTTCCAAGTCCGAAACATTTGCTAGGTAATTTTTGGGGATGTCTATCGCTCTGCTTACAAGCTAATAATTTTTAGCTTGCATTATGGTTACAATTGATTTTTTATTTCCGTTTAAGGACCATGAAGTGATTTATTTTAGCATGCTATTTCAGGAGCATTAATTTTATTATCCACTATCAAGTTATATATTTTGAAGTTTTTGTTTACACCATGCTTTGGCAGTCTGATGCATTAAGCTGATACGACTTTTCTTTTTTTTGCGCTTGAAAATAGTTTGTTTGCTTATCGTGAAACCAGCGGTAGTCATGCGCCATACAATTCCTACAACCCCGTCTCGAGACAAGATAGCGAACTACATAGCATTAGTAGCCGTAGCTATTCAGATGCCAGATCAGAGTCAGACAATCTGTCTCTTACGGATAGTTCTGTGTAAGTATGAATTAACGTATCTTGCCTATGGTTATAGAGGAAGTATTCTCAGAGTTAACGGTGTTGTGAGCGCTAATACAAGGAGTAGTAACTTTAGTATTGCTTCAGTTGTTAATAAATGTATGTTTTTACGTCGAAATAGTTCTATGGGTATGTGTATTGAGGTGATGGCAGATGTACTCGGTTTAGTTAACTAATACCATTTTCAAAAAACGAAAGTTTGCCAAATTGATTGACGTTGAACGTAAAATGTGAAACTAGGCGATGTATTTGTTGAGTATTCAAGTGAATTTTCAAAAGGGCTTCAATTAATTGCCGGTATCGTCTAAATAAAGTGTTTTGATTTATCTGCTGGTCCTTTTCTTCGCTTTTTATGGTTTTTTGACTTTGATTGGTTGTTTTTTGGATTGATTTTTTCCAGTATTCATTTTTTTTTCTCACGCAAAAATGATTTCATTTACCTTAGTATGATTTCATTACCTGTATGTCTTTTTTGGTGGCGAATAAGCGTGTTTTTTTCGTCTTCTGATCTGCAAAAAAATCATGCCTTAAATGCCTAAAAGTTTTCATGTAAATAAAATCATTTATGCACGAGAAAAAAATTAAGTACTTAAAAATGAGGTTTTCGTCTTGTTGACGGTTAATTTAATATTATATATTATGTCAAAAAGTATTAAAAACAAAAGTTTTATACTTTTTATTATCTACAATTCTGCCATTGAACGTTTTCCGATAGGATGTCACGGTCTGCCGCAATATGCAAAAAAAACGTTTTCAACCCCTAAACTGCATCCGCATTGCCAGTGTTTTGGTGTTTAGATTTTATTTTTTCTTTAAGTTGGAATCTCAACAACATTTTCCACCGGGTCCCTTGCCTTACTATTTTTTTACTTATTATTTGAAATTCGGATCGGCATTAGCCTCTAATAACAAAATAACATAATAATACAATAAAACACTGTGTTCCATTAAAAAAACACACTTTTATCTTGCATATCTTTGTGATCTCGATATATTTTTCTACGTATGTGACTTATACTCAGAAATGAAAAAACATAAAAAATGATTATCAATTGAAAATGTACATTTTATTAACATTTCCAGCAATAAGGAAGCTAAAGATCAAGTTGAAATCAGCAATTTTTTATTTCAGTTTCAATCTCATTCATAAAGAAATTAACAAAGGATATATTAAAAAAGAACCTGCCCTTTACGTTTTACGTTACTACCCTTTGCGTAATTTTCGATGTAAATATTTAATGACGAAAACATAAGTTTGTGTTTACAAAGCTTAAAGATGGCTAAATTCTAAATTACAGTGGGCAAAAACCGACGAAACAGAGTCGCTTATCATAATATTGCCGCCTAAGCAATCATGCCAGACTTCGGCAGATATTAAGAATTAGAATTAAAGAAATTGGATATTAACTTATTAACTTTATTAAATATATTAATTATTATAAAACGTAACAGTTGCCAGTGCACATTGGTCAATTTCGGATAAAACATTATAATTCTTACAGAACTATTATTCTTGTCCAAAATCGAGCTTCTGTCACCCATAATGATTTGTCGATATGTGGTACGGTTTGGGAAATAACCCATAAAAACTCCCAATTTTGCCCATTGTGCTTAAAAAATAGTTACATGTTGAATCTCCCATAGAAGCTTTCAATACAAACACAAAGCGGTTTAGAGAATTACTTATAACATTGTGATGTTTTTTTAAATGTAATGTTCAACAGCATAATAAAGTAGACCGACATGCAGCATAGATAGTTTTAAGGTAGGTAATTGCACGTCGTAATTTCCAGTTAGTAATGCATGTATTTACTAAACCGAACTAAATTTTTATGTCACACCTAGACACCAAACGACACAAACTGTTTTTTTATATAGCGACGGACGACCATTTGGTAGAACTTCACGACGTCAAGCGGCGCTTAACAGAGAAGGCCAGATGAATCAAATAGTAATTCCCCGAACGCAGCGAGTCGATAAGTCTCAGTGTCAACCTATGGATCCTGATAAGTTTGCGTCCATGCTAATTGAGAAGTTGGTAATGGTAAAAAAAGATCTGGACGCTCAGGAACTACTGGAGAGGAAACTTAGAGAAGTAAGAAACTTCCTGACTGTTTAAAACTTCATTTTAAAATGGTTTTTGTTTCATAGGCTGGTTCACTGGCACCAATGAGCGAGCAAAACATACGGGAGAAACTTCTGCTTGACGATGAAAACGATCAATCGATTTTGGACGATCATGTGTCCTTAGTCTTTCCAGATACTCCAGCCCGATCTCCGGGAGTTACTTCGCCGCATAAGCAGAAGTAAGTAAAGTCACAGCAAATAGTATTTTTCGATACAAGGGCGAAAAGTGTCGTTTTTCGAACGAGGGTGGCGTTTGAGACCCGGGGCGAAGTCGATGTGCGTAAAAGTAAAGCAAATTAACATTAACGAAAAGTGCTTCTTTATGATCATCGCTTCTGATCGAAAAATGGCACTTTTAGATTCATTCGAATAAAAATGATATTTATTTGATTTAACAATAATTTATTTTGCAGACATTTGCATCCATCTCGTCGAAGGAAGGACGGTTCGATATTCAGCAACGATTCGGGTAACGTGCAGGACTTCGCTGAAGGATCAGAACATAAGTGCGGAATGGTGAAGTCAAAAAGCATGCCAGAATATTCAGAGGATCGATTGCTTCGAGGTGCCATTGGAAGGAGGTTAGTAGATTGTTACTTACATATTGTTGGAAATATCTAAAGGAATTGAACTAACATTACGACCTTGTTTGTTTTCAGACCGGCGACCAAGAAAATATTCACCGATTTAACTGATAGCGGAGTTTCTGTTGTATCTGACGGACCGCCAGCCAATATCCCAATGAAGGACAGTCGAGTTGTTGCGTGGTTGATGTCCGGACACAATGAAATGTCCGCAAAGCAACGGAGCGGTAGTTTCAGGACTAGTAGTGCCACGTCTCCCATTTCAAACCGACATAAGAAAGGTAGGAAATGCACTGTTCAAATTTCGCATATGTGACTTATTCTTGTTTTCAAACCGACATAAAAATGTAGTAAATTCACTGTTCAAGTTTCTCATCTGTGACTTATTCTTTTTTCTAAAGGATTTGGCTCAAGGTCAAGCTCTGTGGAAAGAACTAGTGTGACAAGCGCTAGTTTAGCTGATCCATCCAAGGCTACAATGTCAACTCCAAATACTTTAACGCAGTTGGAAGAGGCTAGAAGACGACTGGAGGATGACGTTAAGGCGCGATCGAAACAGAGGTAGAGCTTATTTTCGATAAAATTATTACCCGTTTTTTCTATTTTGGTTATTGATTTTCAGATCGTCAGCAAACCGACATTTTGTCGATCTGGCTCAAAGCAGTCAATCTACTTTGAGGAAATCTCAAAGAGGTACTAAACCGTCCTTACCTACGGCGCAAGCTAATGATGAACAACAAATCACGGTGGTGTTTTCATTTTGCGATGAGCAGTTTCCGTATAGAACAAAAATTCCTGGATCACAAATAACGTTGAAGCAGTTCAAGGAATATTTACCTAAGAAAGGAAATTATAGGTAAGGAAATATTACCTGCTATACACTTCAGTAATTTTAAAATCATACAGTTTAATGTGCATATTTTGATCTTTTTTCATTTCCTAACCTTTTGTCGAATTAAGGAAAACGTTTGATCTATCATGCGACGGTTTTTAAAAATAGAGATTATGAAATATTTAGATGCATTATACATACATCATCTTCTATCATTACACCGGTAAAAAATCGTCGAATTGCCGTTAGAATCCATAGTGTGATGGTTTGTTTGGTGTCGAGTTTTCATTTCTTTCTTCAACAAGTTTCATTTTTTTAACGCGTTCTGTTGTGGGTTTTTCTTATCTGCGATCGTTAGCCAGACATTTTATTTATTTCATTTATTTAAATTTAAAAGCTATGAGAGCTAAGTGTAAGTCATTCAATGCCTTTTTTATACAAGTTGCAAAAAACCCAGATGCAAATATGAAAAAACCGAAATATTAGAAAGTACCAAAAAATTGTGAAATTTGATATTAATCTACCAACGACGCACCCCAAAATAGTAACGGGTGGAAAAAGTAGCTTGATTTGAAAAAAAGTTCAATGATTTCCAGCGAAGATTATATTCCAAGATTCACAAAGAAAGAAGTGTAAAGTTCAAGAAACTTGAAGCGTTTGCAGACTTGGCGATGGCTATATACATTTTAAATCATCAATAAGCTTCAGAATTAGCTCATGTTGAACCTTTTCCTTCATTCAACTAATACATATTTCAGACTTTTTTGTGGTCTTTATACGTTATGAAATGTAAAACTCATACGAAGTACAGTTTTCAACGTGCTAACCCCTTATTTCATTTATTGCAGATATTTCTTTAAAACTGTTTGTGAAGAGTTGGGTGACCAAGTCATTCAAGAGGAAGTGTGCAACGACTTGGATACACTTCCTTTGTATGAAGGGAAAGTTATGGCCCAGGTTAAGCCTCTTGACTGATGTGTTAATAGTTGTAATAGGTATTTTAGTTGCTAGATATAACTGTTTACTTAACATATACATTTTAATTCACCCAACATCACACATGCGTCGGTAGCCTAAAATTTGTTCCGCACTCGCAACTATCATAAAAATGCTATTTGCTAATCATAAAAACTACAATTACCCAATTGAATAAAAAACGATTTTTTTGTTATTAATTATTGTATAAATTAAGTACGAAGTGAATATTTTATCGGTCTAATTTGCCTTTGTGTTATAGTATACTAGGTCGAACAGGCAATACCTTTGAGAACACAGACTTGTAGATTATTGGCGGTTTTTTAAGTTCATCAGTAATCTGGCCTAGTTGCAAGCTGTATTAGAGACTATCGGCAAAAATTTGTAGTATTTACTTGCCTCTATTTTTTTGGTTCCTAAGATAATCAATAATAATTGATCTGATTCCACTAGTTAATCCTTCAATTGAATGTAGTGCATACATGCAATTTCTTCCCACGTGTTAATTTCTTCTTCAGTAATAATTTTAAAGTGCCTTAAAAATAATATGAAAATTAATTTTAGTATTTTTTGTAATATAGTTATTTCTTTATTTATTTGACGTTATACATAATTTTTTTAAATTATTTTTTGTACATATAATTTAGTAATTGTATAGACGACTTAATAATAATTATTTTTATATACTTGCAACGGTTTTCAAAGTAATGCAGTATTCTAGCTATTAAAGGTGTGCCATATACAGTGAAAGCTCTAATAAGCGGATAGTCACAGTTCACAAGAAATGTCCGGTTATGGGAGGTGTCCGCATAATTGAGATGTATTTAATTAAAAAGAAATATTTATTTTCAGATTCTTTATTGCCTACATATGTTTTATAACATTTTTCAACATATAAACTTATTGTGCCGGATTATTAACATATTCTGAAATATTAGTTTGGCGCGTTTTTTGAAATCTTTGTTGAGTTATGCAATGCTGAAAATGGGTTTCAAGGTTTTTAAGATGTTGAAACGCACTAAAGTCATCACTTGAAACTATTTTTAAAAGGGAAATTGTATTTAAGGCATCATACGATTTTATGAGTGAAGCATCAGGTTCAATTGTCAACGTTTCTTCTGATTCGTCATCATCACTACTCATGAAAAGTTCAGTTGTGGCAAGGTATCAGGATGAATGAAAATGAATGAAATGAAAGCATTTTGTTTTTCGGAGCCATATTCACAAACACTTTATGTCGCGCTCACAAAAGGCTACCCGCTATTTGCGCTACGACGGTTCTATTTCAAAAGAAACTGGTTCCGGGGTTTTCCAATTATTATCAATTTATTTGAAACGTATATGGTTCGTTACAACTTGCCTTTTTATTAAATAAAAACTAACTTCTAAAAACTGTCAAGAGTAACCAAACGGAGACCTTTTCTACCTATTCTGTTAATAATAGTTATTATCATGTGCTCGAAACTTAGTTAATGGCACTACAATCGATGAATAAAGCAAGTCAAGTCAAAACATCTAAAACGGGGAACTACGGAATATGTGAAGGAATTCCCCGATTGAAAATCGCTTATTTTTGATAATGGTTTTATTCGTCGACTGCGTTTTACAGCTTCGTGGCCGCCTTGTAAGAGCTTTTCAACTCCGTATGATCATAATAAGATTCGCGTCCGATTAATAGAATGTCCGTTTATAAGAAAGTGTTTTACATTGAAAACCATATGACGAAATTAGGGTCCAAGAAAAATGTCGGGTTCAGAGCGATGTTCGCTTATAAGAGCTGTCCGCAAGTAGAGCTTTCACTGTAATCCAGTTTAATTTAAATGGTACATCTGGAAGGTGTAGTGGAAGAAATTCACTAGTTGGTCCACAGCAAGAAAATTGACAAGTTGAACAAATTCAGTGTTTTTAACTAAATAATTTGTGGCAATTAGTGGAGTAAGTGCACGAAATATTAAGTAAACTTTTCTTTGTCGGCAGAAATAAAAGTTAGTATTTCGTACTTTTGTTTCCTTTAGGAATAACCTACTAAACACTAGTCTGAATAGGGAGCGATTCAGCTAGTTGATTTTTTCTTGTATACCAATTACATATTTAATTTTTTTGGTGACTCACAGCATTACAGCAAAAAATATACTGTTTACTTCTTCGTCGATCTTCGTAATGTTGCAGAGCGAACTTCTAACAGAACGGGCCTTTCTTTAGTGCTTGGCATGAAAGAATGAGCTCGCCTAACCCTGTCCCCTAAAAACTGTTTTGGTAAGTACTGTCATTTAAATAAGATTTCACATTGTAACACCAACAACGCAACTGTTATTTTCATACATATGCAATTAGTTTCTGAGTGACTCCCGTAAATAACCAGTTAATTACCTTCTCTGAGAACGGGGGCATATTGATACAGCTTGGCTTCCAGAAAATCCTTTTTTCCTTCGGATAGAACAATTTTCTCTCGCGCTTGTTTCAGTTCGTCATCTAAAGCGTGCCTTTCTTTCTCCAGCTGTGCCAATCGCTGTTCTGCATCTAGCGATGATTGGCGATAAAAAAGTGAAAGCTAATTGCGATAATTTCACTTACTTCGCAATTGCTCCTCTTTTTCCCGTTGTCGTGCCTCATATTCCTGACGCTTAATTCGTTCTTCATCGAGAAGCATTTTTTGCTCACATTGAAGGCGTTCCAGCTCGTCTCGCTTTTCCCACTCTTCTGCCAAAACTCTGGCTTGGAGAGCTCTAACTATCTCTTCGTCTCTGCAAATAATAAGAGTGTTCGAAAATGGTCCGAAATAATATTGTCTGTTACCTTTTTGCTTGGGTTTCTTCTTCTAACAATTTTTCTAATTTTACTTTAATTTCCCCGAGTTCTCCTAACTTTTTCGAATCTTCTTTAACTAAAGCTTCCAGTTCTTTTGCTTGACCCTCAGCAGCTTGCCTAGCAGTTCGTTCTTGTTGCAGTTGAGTTCTGAAATACGCAATTTTTTAATACTTCTCTAAACGCTATTTCTGCGTAAGCACTGAAAAATTACTTGGCTTGTAGCATTTCCTGTACTCGTCCTTGACGTTGAATTCGCCTTTTGGCAACTTGCAATCTTCCATAAGTTTGGTGTCCACCAGAATGATCAGCAGCCAATTGAAGTGCAGAAATCCATTGAAGTCTGGTCATATGGTCAGGAGCGCCTGGATTAATAGCATAAATTCAATGCTGTCCAGTTCTTGATGTTAACGGCTATTCGCTTCAACTTCTTACCAAGTTCAAAATTTCTTTCTGGCGTATGCAGTATGATTCTGTATCCAGTTGTAGCTTCCACTCTACTGCCCACCTCTATTGGCAAAGCACCGCTTTTGTCTTTTTCGGATCTATTTTTATAATAACTTAGCTCTGAGGGTCTCAGAACAAACCAAAATTCTCTCATGCTTGGAAAAATGTATCCTCGTTTCGTCAAATATCTGCAATTTAATTACTCGATAATGGTCCAAGTACAAAAAGCAACTAGATACCCTTTCTTAATGACGTCTTCGACTATTTTCTGGTAAACATCGATGATCGCTTCTTTAATCGCTTTGCTATCTTTAATACCAGTGAGGCAACGTGACTCGATCACGGCAATAAATGGAGTTAGGCGCACATTGCCCATAGATATGCTCAAACTGGTAAAATCGTCTTCATCGAATATGCATCCTAGGGAACTTGTAACTGTTTGTGCTATACTGCAAATCTGCAATTATTTTATTGCCAATGACTTGAATTGGGGAAGTTGAAAGAAACCATCAAACCTCAGATGGATGAATCAACACTTGATAACTATGCTCAGTTTGATTGTCGGGTACTAATTCGGCCAAAACACAAAATATTCGGTATAATTGAAAAACAGTGTCGTCTGTGAATACTTTATGATCGCGTTGAAGGTACCGTTTTCTGCAAACCAACCAACAGACCTACAAAATAATTGATAATATTGATAAAATTGATAGTATTTTCTTTAGTTACCAACAATTATTAATGCCTTAAATTTGTATTAGTATTATTTTTTGTTTTTAATAGCGTTTTTCATATTTACCTCTGCGATTCGGCTTTCATATTCCCTTAGCTCTGCCAACGGGAGTTTGGCAGGCAAAGAAGAAAAAACTTCATTTTGTAAGTAGAATCTGTATTGATCAAAACTGAGACTTAATGTGCTTCTAAAGTGTTCTAGTCCCTTTTCAACTCCATAGAGGTCTAATAGCGTTCCTATATTTGCTGTGAGAACCTAAAATTACTTTTTTTTTAATATGCATATCAAATTTTCGTTTTAAATTGTCTAAGTTTTGGCTTCACAAAAAAATCAGACAGCTCTAACAAAGCATACTATCGAAACAAGACACACCTTCAATCACACAGAAACTAAAGTCTTAAAATCGGAATGCAATACAAGGAAGCGGAAACTTTACGAAACAATTGAAATAATTAAAAATGTAACCAGCATTAACTTTAAAACAGACACTAAACATTTAAGCATTATTTACATTCTGAGTTAATTAGATTTTATTTATATATTTATAAAAAAATACAATAAAGTAAAATAAGTTGACTTTTTCTGGTTGTCTCCAGTCAGAATCAAACATTCACCTTTGCAAATAGTTCAGTCGACATTATCTCTTAGCATGGAGAGACCAGAAATTTGATTTTAATATTTTAAATTCGACAAAATTTTAACGTGTGACCAAAAAAATAATAATTTGTGTACCGTGGCATGTGTGTTGGATTGCGTTTGGGCTGACGTGAAATCGTGTCTTAATTAATTCATGTGAGTGAAATCTCTGCTCTTTAATGAATTTTAACCTTGGTATAAATATTAGGAGTTTGTAATAATTCCTGCAACAATATGCTCTTCAAGAACAATAGGTCTGTTAGAGATAGATTTTGCATTCTCGTTTTCCTTACAGTATCTGTAATCCTGAGGAAGGCAGCAGAGCACGGTCGAAACGTTGGAAAATACAGAAGTTTTGAACATTTTGAATATGGGTGTACATCTAGCTTAAACCCAAATTTCCTAATTAGGACGACATCCCTAAGAATTTATAAATTAATTATAATAATAATAATATTAAAAAAATTTCAATATTTTTCTCGTACTCCCCAAGGGAGCCTCTATCACTCCTTAAAAGGAATGACGCCAATTTTGAATCACCCTGTATATGTATTTATGTGTTTATATATGATATAAAATTTAAGCTGTGGTTACACTTTGCCAATTTAACCGGTTGTTTTTGGAACCGTCTCAGAAACCCGAAAACGTGGTTCGCAGCAGCACAGAACCGATGCGACACGTATTTTCTCAATAGTTGTTGTCCCTTTGAATTTTTTATTTATCATTTTATATTAGTGTTGCTAACAAGGACCTTTTCCAAAAAAAATGTCCTATAGCTGATGCTATTATAATTACTTCAAGTGACTTTCGCATCAAAATACATTATTTATATTCAATATAAATTCAAAATCAGATAGGGATAATGATATGAGATTTTGTTCGCAAATTCGTCACAAATTGCATTAAATGTAAACATTGGACCATATGCAGCCATTACATAAATAAAAAGAGTCATTAATTATAGTCTGACAGGAATTTCTCGGTACAACCTTGACATACACTCGGGGTCTTTTTACATGAATATTTTAAAGGCGAACCTGTTAACGTTTTTACTTTTACAACATACTTATCGCACTATATTTGGAAAATACTTGAAAGCAACATCTGCCACTTAGCCGACTTACATCAATTCTAATTCAATTTTCTTCTCATTAGGATTATTTAATACTTATTCAATTTATTATGATTAATTTATTAGTTAATTAATCAACTTGAACTACACTTTCGAAATGATGTAAATGCAAGGCAAGCCGCTTTCCTAGTAGTAGGGACAGTTTGATTATAGAAATTTGCTAAAATAAACCGGGGTATTAAACAGACATTTAATACAACAATATAAATATTTCTATTAAAGTATCTGAGATTTCTATGTATTTTAAAGAAGTTAAATATGCGTTGCCATAGATAGATATGTGTAACGGATTCGTCATCATTGGATCGCCCATAGAATCCCATATAAGTTCGATTTAATTATACCTCTTTTTGATATTATCTCTTATGATCTTTTATGGAATGCCCAAAATCGTTTGATACTTTCGAAACTTCTTTAATTATGCATACACAATTTCAAAGCATTTTAAATCATACTTTGCAAGTAACAATGGTGATCTAGTAAGTCTCAAAGGAAGCTTTTTTGAATTTTAAAGATTAATGATGAAAGTGGTCATAACATTTCAAAATAATCAACAGCAACTATTATGATATTATTAATATACGAATTAAATAAAATGTTTTACATACATGTTTTAAATATTAAGTTCATCATTAAATGAGTAGAGATATATCAAATGTAGTTTCTTATATTGAGTCTATATCTATTTCAATATTACAAGGTCAAAAAGGAGCTAAAAATTTAATTTGCCTTACAATTATATAACTCACTCTATTATTACTTGAACTTATTGTAGTAAAAACCAAGCAAAATGAACTTTATTCGACGTGCTAATTATTGTTTTCGGTCAAACTTTGCCTCCAAAACCTCAACCACTTTTAAACTTTGTTACCGGGCGATCTTATCTTTTTGTTTTTTTGAATTTTTAAAGCCTCCAATTGAACCAATTAAATTATCTCCCCTAGTTTTTAAATTAAATAGTTTTAATAATTGTAATGATGATACACAATACGCAATGATGAAATTATTTTTGGCTTTAGTTGAAAAAGGGGCAAGTATTATAAAAAAAAGCGCAAAAATCGAATTGATTGTGATAATTTTGATATTGCATAGGACTTTTGTTGCAAGCAAGCTCTAAAATAAGGCAAAGTTCATCGGCTGTTAAACTGATATTCTGACCCACAGTTTTATTATGATACCGCAGCCGAAACGATTAAAACCAATTACCTTTAATTTGGACTTATTAACAAGCCCCGTTTGGTCCTGTTGCAAAGCTTTGAACGCTAGACAAACACAATTAGTAACATTTTCCAGTAATATCGACATATTACGCGTATTTTATTGTTATTAGTCACAGAACAGACAACTTTTATGTTTTCGCCGCAGTACGATACCAGCACATTTTCGAAATGAGCGCGATAAACTGATTAAGAAATTCAACAGAAATGTTGAGTCGGCTTACCGACAATTTGACCGAGTACCACAATGTATTTGTCATGATCGTAGGCGGGTGGGACAACATTTATAAGAGATCTGAAAAGCGACTGTGCGATGATAAAACACCTACTTTCTTATTGTCTTTAAGCCATAGAAGCAAAACTTGTTAGTTTGTTATTATAATTTAAATTGAATTTTGTACGATTTTACAAGAGAATAGCTAAAACAAAGTTTAAGCTAAACGTATGTGAATTCGAAACCTAAAACTTTCAACAAAGTTTTTTACTCAAAAGCAATGAAATCAATAACAACTTTTGCTCTTCTAGCTCTACTACATTGGGTCCGATTTCAGGGTTTATTTACAGCATTGAAAAATTATTATAAGTGCGGTGCCTTTTGAATCAGTCTGATTTTCACCCTTCTATGTTTTCCAAAATTATGAATTAGTCTAGTCAGATTAGACTTTAACAGGTCTGTTTCGCCTGTTGGGTAAATGGATGAAGGTAAAAGATTAATGGAAGTTGTTCGGAAGCATGTCAGAATAAAGTGATTTGGAACACTGTGGAAATACATATATCAAAGAAAGTCCGAAAACCCGTTTTTGCGTATAACTTTTGAATTAATGATGCTACTTAATAATACATACAATATGACACAAACTAAATTAAAATCCGTTCATAAAGTTTTTTTTGAGACGTCGGAGAGACTTCTCTGAGTGTCTATTTTACTCGTAAAGTTATACTGCTACTGACAATAAAGGAAAAGTTGATTACTGAAGAGTAATCTGGATAATAAACTTTCCGCATCGATTACTTAATTGCTATGATTTTTTATACAGTATATTTATATAGTATTACTGATAATTAAAAAAATAAATTGGTACAGCTGCAGATTTCGATGTTTAGGCATGTTTATCTTGATCACTTTTTTTTGTTAGTATATTTTCTAAAGTTTTAATGAATATTAAATTTGGCTGCCAAGATGTTCCTATATCGAAAAATTATTTTCGTTGCGACGTCTCAAAAAAAAAATTAGAATCTGGCAAGAGCCGTTTTTACATAGCAAATAGGAATGAACGAAAAGTTATGAATATTTTAAGATAAAATTTATACCACTTATAAAATGTACAAAGACCTTCAAAAAAGTTATAGTATGATTTTTTAGAAGCAAAACTAAATTAATTATAGAAAATTTAATAAAACGCTAAACATTTTTTTTTGCTTTTTAAGTAAACAAATGAACGGATTTTAATTGATGTGGTCTCATATTATAGGTATTTTTACTATTTGAAATAAAGTATTGAACTTTTTATTAATAGCATCAACGATTCAAAAGTTATGCTCAAACAACTTTCGCGCTTTCTTGTTTCAACAACTACTTCCATAGCAAGAAATCGCGTGAAAACTATTGTCCCAACATTCTGACATCCTTCCGAACAACTTTTACGAATATTTTACCTTCAGCCATTTAGTGTCTAGAAAAAATGTAATCCGACTGAACTAAATCTCGGACGACTATTTTTGCGTGTATTGAAAAACCCCAGAAAATGGAAGAAAGCCAATTTTAGATGTTCAGTTACTTGATCTCCAGTATGCATCAATTTTCCTTCTGTGCACTGCATTAATTTTCCAGATTTCAACCCAGATGAATTTGAAAATCAGTAATCAACCTCATTTTAGTTATTTTTAATTCGGCGGCTTTTCCAGGTGTTAAATAAACTACTCATAAAAGGAAACTTCGACTTCCCGATCTTCTCATTTTTCAACAAAGTTAAATTTTTGTAAGTATTAACCGGCTATTGGTTAAAAGTGACGAATATTATTAAAAATGAGCTGTAATTCGCTTAAGTACTTCGCTATCAAACATACTTTCTATAAAATTTATCAAGATAATACAAAAAGCGTTTTACTGGCAGAAAAAAAACAGACCGTTTGATTTATGTTTATGAAATGTTTTAGATTAGCTGCTAAATAAATAAAAATATTATCCGGAATTTTTAATGTCTATAAAATATAAATCTATTGGGCTTATAGGCGCGTAATTCTAGGTGTAGGAAAGTGAAAAGGTTTTTCAGGAAAAATCAAAGCCACGTTAACATTGACCAACGTGATCCCTTTTAATGTTCTCATACAATTCCGCTTTTAATATTATTTAATCTATTAAAAAACGTCTCTGTAAGATACCTTGATGAATGTCTTTAGATTCCTCATGTAATCTATTGCACTAGGAAATTGATACTTTTCATCTACTAAGTATATTAAGTAATATATAACTATGTAGTCAATAATGAAATGAATTGAGTTATTTTTCATGCTATTATTCTGTTTTATTGTAAAAATGAGATATATTAAGAGACTGTCCTAAATAATCAAGAGCATTACACAAAAATATAAATTGGAAGTTGAAAAGACGCAAGAACGGCGAGACATGGAAATTACAGAGGAGGAATTAGTGACAATGAAAGTTTTTTTAAAACGCAGCATTTGACAAAATTCACATTTCTTCAGAGATATGGATCTGCTCGCAAAAAATCACTTTAAGCCACTTGTAAATATACATTTTAGGACCAAATATTATAAAATCTCGAAAAAATATGACATATTTGTAAAATTAATTTTTTGTCTTCAAATCAGAGATGGAAATTGAGAGCAAAAAGTAGTAAAAATTCTTACAGTTGCCTTATTAATTTAGAAACAACTTTAACATTGATACTGTTTCCCAACACCATGTACTTTTGCCTGTTACTGATATCTTGTGGAAAAGAAAACGTTTCAGGAAAGCCCATTAATTTGGCAATCTCATGCGGAGTGAAAAACCGTAGGTTTAATGATTGGGCTAAATCCAAATAGTCGTTACTAGCAGGGTCCATACGACCTAAATTTGCTAAAGTTTCGAATACAGTCTCCTCGTCAAGGTCTGTAAAAACACTTCCTGTCCCTTCTACAAAAAGGAAAATTGTAGTACTTTTGAAACAATATTTCACCTGGACTTCCTTACGCATAAATCGTCCATACGCTTTTGTGAAGCAACACGACTTTCTAGAGGTTCTATAACATATATCCAATACTTTAAGTCGTCTCTTTAGAGTGCTATCATGAAGTCTAAAATTGCAGTCTTCCAGATCATCCTCTAAAATGTCCTGTATTGGAAAGCACGAAGATTCATTTGTGTGGCTTGGAATAATATCCATCTAAAAAGCACCTTAAACTATCTAATTAATGCGAAAGAACTGAGTTAAAAAACATGTTCTTCATACCACAGATTCTCGGGTTTCAAACTGGAACTTCTCCGGTCGTTTTTTGGCTAAACAATAATATCGTAGTCTGCTATTGGGGATGCCGAATTGATACGGCGTGAGAAGAAACTCTTGATATGTAAAGGAGTTTTCGGTTAAAGTTTTGATTAGTAAGTTCCTCATCTCAGACTGTTCAAACCCTTTAACATTTTCTATCAGTACGTTTTTAATTGCTAAGTCTGGAAGCAAATGCAGAATGTGTTGGAAGGAGTCAGACCGAGCGTCCTCCATATCTAGTTGTTTGCCATTTCGGGTAAAAGGCTGGCAAGGGGGCGACATGAGAATCGTATCAACTTCAAGCTGATTGATTGTATCAGCAGTTAGACCTTCAATATTTAAGTTCAACAGTTTGGTATCGGGAAAATTATATTTATAAATGCTATTTGCTGTCGTGTTGATTTCTACCGCCGCTTTAATACATCCTGGCTTTCCACTTTCTGAAATAATTGTATATTGTGATGTTTATAGGAATAATTCCAGATCCTCTATCGAGGATCCGCAATGACTGGAATGTTTGGACATGAAAATTATTATTTCAAAATCAATACAAGTAGTTCAAGTAATTATATTAATAATTAATATTAATAGCCATTTGATATAAATATTTCATTAAGTGTAAAATGGGTCTCCCTAACGTAGATATACCTTTAAAAGCCATATGCATTCCTCCAATTCCACTATACAATTCTAATACTTGCATTTGTTCTCGTTTAGTTAGGATGCAACAGGAACACCTCAAGACAAATATTTAAACATATTTGTTTAAATTTGAGCTTTTTAAAGTTGAAAGGTTATGTTTGATTGTGGTTTGATTCTGAAACGATTGAGGTTAATTAGTTGCAGTTGCACACATAGTTTGATAATCTGTGGTTACACAGACTAGTTCTTGTCTTTATCTATGGTTTAGTAGAGTCGGCCATAGATAAAGACAACGTTAAAAAACACTCATACCAGAGACTTGTCTCTGCTCATACACACAGAACATCTACTACCTATATATATATAGAATATACGGACTACCTAAACTTCCTAAAAACAACATACCATTACGACCAATCGTCAACAATATAGCAAACTTACAACTTATCCTCTTCTAAGAAAT